GTCTTGTGAATGACTGGCTGACGGTCTTGTGAATGACTGGCTGACGGTCTTGTGAATGACTGGCTGACGGTCTTGTGAATGACTGGCTGACGGTCTTGTGAATGACTGGCTGACGGTCTTGTGAATGACTGATGCTTTTCATCTGATTGGTTACTGACTGCCTGACTGGCTAGCAGTGCTACTGAAACCTTCTGGATTTTTTCTAGCAAGCCAAGATCTAAGTCAGGAACCATGCAGGGCTAGAGGTATGATAGGTGACTATTTCCTTCCCTCCTCCGTCGCCCCCTGCTGGAGGTCTGAGTATGGAAGGACAGGAAGGCTTGGAACTGACCTACATACCTCATAAGTATGTAATTAGGGTCAAAAGTGAAAGCAGAACCAAACATGCTGATAATCGTTTAAAACGGTTATAAAATCTGCAATGGACAATGAGCAGCTGCTCAGTCTCATTCATCGCCCTCTTGGCATTTCTTTAATTCTCTGTGACACTTTTTCTTGTCAGAGAATTTGTGTGATCAGACATTTAAAGACTCAACCCCTCCAATGACGCATTAATCCTTACAACAGAACGTTAATGTTAAACAAGCTCTCGAGAACAGTGGTGCCTGTCTTTGGAAATGAAAGGCCATTTTGGAAGTTCTGTGATAGTCGTCCACCCCTGACTGCATGTTTCTCATCTTTAATTAGTGGGGGGAAAATTCTGGAGAGGATGAGTGTGCACCCTGTGAGGTTTCACTGTGGTGGAGATGAAGAGGGTCGAGATATTAGGGTTTTCCAGGACCCTCATTATTGATATGCGTTAATGATGTGTGACCATGCCATGCCTGACACAGGAAATTCAACAAACTGACATTTGCGTATTGCGGATGGAGAAGGTCACAGATCAAAGGTCATGAAAACTGCTGGGAAATAAGAACCTGGACTTAAATGCAACCAGTGTCTAGATGGTCTTTACCATTTTGAACCATCTGGAATTCAGGTGGGAAACCCCATTGAAACTCTATAATGAGGCTGATTATAGTTCAGTGGACTTTGAACATCTGCACATGAACATCTGCCTTGGTGCTGACTTTTTGCTTGGTCTCCCTGTGAGGGCAGGCTGACTTACAAAGGTTTTCATGATGCATTAAGTACTCACGGAAATTTCCTTCCAGGTGTCTCTGAAACAGTTTGGCTATGAGAGGTTTAGATGTTGGGGGAGGAACAAGGTTGGGACCGTGTAACACAGGTTCCTGATTGGACCTTGTATTTTGATGTGTGTGTGTGACTGGAGGTCCAGTCTAATAGGGGCTTAGCGGGAACGACGTTCTGCTTGGGGTGTGATGCCTTTGGCTTCATTCATGGACATTTGAAAGGAGCTCAAGTGGAGGTTAGTGCTCTGGAAGGTGAGTAGAGGAGGGTGTCCTCATCGGACAGTGGCTGTCCTGCATAACCATGATGCTCAAACAAATCTGAAGAGCCACAGCAATACACTGCTGAGAGTTGTGTAGCTTGACGTACTGCCTGCAAGGGGCGCTGTTTCTTAATGTGGAACAGTGTTCTTACTGAACTGACTGACTGTTGTGTGGCTCAGCAGGGTAAGCCTGTATGCCTGTGATTAGAATCCCCGCCCGAAATTCTCCTGGGCTGCAGCCCTCACTCTCACCTGTGTATGTGTATGTGTGTGTGTGTGTGTGTGTGTGTATGTCTCAAAGGAAAGCAAGATGGGATGTACGAAAACAAGCATTCCAAAGTACCTGTAATTTTGTAAAAGGCAAAAAAAATATTAATTTCCTTACCTCCTTCGAACAATGCGGTAAACAGAGTGATTTCACTGCCGAGCCCTTGAGCAAGGCCCTTACTTCAGTGACTCCAGGGACTGGCTAACGTCACTTTGAATAAAAGCATCTGCTAAATAAAAATGTATATTAAGGGGCCTGTGGGATTTGGGGCAGTCATCTGTGTACCCCATTTCAGTCATCTGTGTACCCCATTTCAGTCATCTGTGTACCTCATTTCAGTCATCTGTGTACCCCATTTCAGTCATCTGCGTACCCCATTTCAGTCATCTGCGTACCCCATTTCAGTCATCTGCGTACCCCATTTCAGTCATCTGTGTACCCCATTTCATCCTTTGCGGGTCGGCATGTGGTCTGGGACGTCAGTGCTCCAGCCAGCAGTAACACTGTTAGCGGGAGAGGAGTCCAGCGTCATTGAAGGAGCGTGAAGCGGTTGATCTGCTTTGAGCAGGAAAGTGGTGGATTCTTATACATCTCCCCCGTTACTCTCAGTCTGCCCTCCATGCAGGTCAGACCTCAGTGTTTGATCTCACACCCCAGTAGTTTTTTGTTTTCTGACGCACCTTCATAAATGCAATTTGCTACCTACCTGCACAAACAACCATTTTTCCACGGAACACGAACACCGGGGGTGTGCATAGAGGAAACAGCCCAGAGCTCGTGAAGCGCTGGGGCCCCCGGACCGGTGAGATGGGCCCTCTTGACCTGATAAGTGGCTGGAATTCAGCTCTGCTCTTTAATTTTAATAATGAATGTGGATAATCGAGTCTCGCACTCCATTATCCATCTCGCTCAGACGGGCCACAGATTAGGTGGCACGCACACTCATGCTTGGCTCAGCTCTGTTCAGAATCAGACACTTTATTTAAATGGCCATGAAATGCACATTACCGTCCCTGACCCGGAATCTGCGTGCTGAGGTCACTCTGGCCCCCACACTCCCCCTGGTGGCTGCCTCCCGCTCAGCGCCAGGGCGATTTTTTTTTTTTTTTTTTTGAGTGTCTTAGCTTAGGGATCTGCGTAAATTGGCCTGAATTAAGATGCATAATGGGTCAGTTTTGAGGAGCAAAACCCCAGCAACACTGGGACTGAAGCGCAGTCAGGAGGGAACGGTGCAGGGTGATCTGTACTACATGTGTCCAGCGACATGGCTCAGCAGACAAGCCCCGCGTGAGCCGGGTTTCCGTGCTGCCTGACTCGCCTCTTGGGAGGTCCTGAGGACAGCTTCCGATTGCAGGGTCCGCCACCAACCCAAGGACCAACTTGGCTGATCCACATCTGAAGGGTGTTACCTGCTCTAAGCTGTTTTTATAAGATATTGATTGTGTGCACCAGAGGCAATCACTAGTGCTCCACTCCCCATTGCACTAGTGAATGCCTCTGGTGCACTAAACTGCTGTGTTTACCTACTGTCTGTGTACTCTATGGTGTATTGTATCTACATTGTATTTTATATTATACTGTCGTCTTTGTGCATTTGTATATTGTGTACAGATGTTTTATGCATAGTTTGCTTTATTTAATGTACTGCTCTGTTGATACGTCATTCATGACACAAGACTTTCACTCACTAGTTCACTCGTTCTAGTGATGTGACAATAAAAGTGATTTGATTGGGGTAAGCACATCAGATTGACAGCTAGATGATTATTCCGTTCCAATATAACTGTGTTACAAGGTGCCTCTTTTCTGGTCATTGAGAATGTCCAGATCACTGCATGAGGGTCCCGTTGGTTTTATCAGAGCTCGGTGACAATGAAAACGGTGCTGGAATGAGTGCTGAATGTCAACAGTGATGATGAAAAATTGTCATATGAATATTAACCAAGGCCCTGCACCTTACGGTAAACAGGCAATTTCCAGCCTGTCCAGCTGTAATGGGGTGTACAGGTCTGCATGACCTGTTCCTAAATGCTGCTTGTGTGTGAATCTGTGTCCCTTTGTGCTTGTGTGTGTGTGATTTGTTTGTGTCTTTGTGCTTGCGTGCATGTGGTCTGTGTGTGTCTGCGTGTGTGTATTTATGTGTCTGCACGCTTGTGTGTGTGTGTGTGTGTGTGTGTGTGAGAGAGAGAGATGAATGTTAACAGCTGTTTCCCTGTTTTCCCACCCAGGGTGCCCTCACTGCAAGAACGCTGTGCCCCACTTCACAGCAGCTGCCGAGGGTTTTAAAGAGGACCGCAAGGTGAGCCCATCTCTGCTTCTCCTGCGAGATTACCCCCCCCAAAATCACACACTTGAGGGCCCTTTCGTTAGCATGGCCCTCTGCTTTCATGGTCATCGTTTATCATTCCATATTTCATAACAGAAATAATAAACTGCTTTTCTTGTCTGGAGTGCATTACATGGTGTCATCTTTAAATCTTTCCTGGCTTGTTTTCTCCTTTTCTTTCTTGGCAAGTCTGTCCATTATTCACAGCATAAGAATTTGTCCGATTACCAGGCGGGTCTCTCCCTGTCTCTCTTCACGCTCTGTGCTATTCTCAGATTCGCGTGTCTTAACTTTCTTAGCTGTATGTTCCTGCTCCCCCCCCAGGGACAATCCCTCATTGGTCTGCAAACCCTTTTTGTCTTACCAGATTGTTTTCCTTTTTGACTACTAAATGATTTAATAATATTAAAAATCCCACTCGTGGGTAGCATATGAAGACATCATTAGTTACTGGTGAGCTGTATCAGCCGACTGGTGATGTTCGTGTTGTGATGGCCAGTGTTGAGCAAGATGCAGCGTGAGATGTTCTGCTGGGCCCTTGAAAGAGTGCCAGGCGCTGCGTGTCATGGCATGACGAAGGCGGCGGCTTGCACCGGAACCGTTACCGAATCCCGCTCAGAGATTTCAGTTGGGGACAGAGCCAGGACAGACTGTGGCGATGCACACCCCAAGCCACTGCTCGCGTTGGCAGATGTGCCATTTAATAACGACTTAAACAGTAACGCTTAACTGTGAGATATGGCAGAGCAGCCCAGAGCACACACTACTCTCCCTATTCATCATCCCGTTAGCCGTGCTGTGACGATTACACTCCTGTCTGTCATCGTCTGTCACGTTTAAAGCAGGTTTGCTCACTGAAAACTCCAAAATTAGCTCCCTGGGAGGTGTTGAAGCGTATGACTGTGAGGCCCAGCAGAACTTGGATATTTTTTGTTTTTCTGAAGGCACACTAAGGTTTTGACTGCTTGTCCCAAATCATTTATATTAATGTGTCTAGGTTTCCTCTGAATGCCAAATGGAGCGACAATGGCAATGTGCCATCACCTTTCAGAAACACTTCTTCCACTTATCTTCTCTGTGTTACCTGCGGGTTCATTGATTGGCTGAGCTGCTGCTTGCTTCCTGTGGAAATCAGCCTATCGGCAAGAGAAGTGGGGGCAGGGACAGCACGTGGTATCCAATGTCCTCTTGCAGTGATTGAGCATCAGTGCCGCCTCCTGGCTGATGGGGCTTCTGGGGTCTTCCTGGAATGATCAGGAGGTGTTTGTGGGGAATGCCTGGCTCTATAGGCAGAACTGTTGTGGTCACATGTGTGCTCAGAAGGTGGCAAGAAGGGGGTACACCTTTCAGAACCTGAAAATTAGGTCAGAGTGATTGAAAGGTGTCATTTTGTGCTCACTGTTCAGTCTCTTTTGGGCAAATTGTTGCCAATGTGCGTTTTGCTGCTGGTGCCCAGCTGATCATCTGATAGTAATTCAATTTGTTGCTCTCTGTTGGGAAAAACCAACCAAGATGAAACAGGCCAAAGTCCTTGTGCTCCCCTTTTGAAGGTCTCATACCTCTACAGCCACTGTCCTGATTGATCGAATGCCAGTGTACCATGGCGTACTGGAGCATAAAACACCATGTTGAACCATACTACAGCGTAAAACGGCATGCTGGAGCATAACTCAGCATAGAACAGCTTACTGGAGCGTACCACAGCGTAGAACAGCTTACTGGAGCGCACCACAATATAGAACAGCTTAACGGAGCGTACTACAGCGTATAACAGCATGCCGGTGTACCACATGTGTACCACAGCATACCGCAGCGTACCGCATCCTAGAAGAGCATACCGGAGCGTACCGCAGCTTAGAACAGCATGGCAGAGTGTACCACAGCATGCTGGAGTGTACCGCAGCTTAGAGCATGCTGGAGCGTACCACAGCATAGGACAGCATGGCAGAACATACCCCAGTGTGCCACAGAGTGCCGCAGAACACCGCAGCATTCCACTGTGTACCACATCCGGTCAAGCATCATGTCTGACATTTTCTAGCTTGACTGATGGCAGTAAAGACACTCGTTCTCCTTTCACCAAAAGTTTCTAACTGCCCCTTTCCACGGCTTTTCTCATATACACACACACACTCCCCCTCCCCCATCAGCACTGCCAGGGGGTGGGGGGGGGGGCTCCTCTGTCTGTCATCTGTCTGCTCCTCAGGATGAGTGAAGCTTCCCTAGTTCTGCTGTTACGCCTTCAGGCAGCTGAACTCCTAAGATGATGAAAGACGGGGGAAAGAAGGCATTTTCTAAAACATAGATGTGTGTGCTCTACCTGATGTGCGGTGGTGTAAACATGACCTCCTGAGAGCTGCCAGGGGGATTTGGTTGTCCATAACGACACTTTCTGGATGCTTGTGTCTCCACAGATTGCCTACGCAGCAGTGGATTGCACCAAGGGGCAGAACCAGGAGCTGTGCAGACAGGAGGGCGTTGAGGGCTACCCCACCTTTAATTACTATAACTATGGGAAATTCAGTGAGA